GCTTGTGATTCATGAAATCTCGTCTTCTGTAGTTGCGATTGTCAAGGCGGCTTATTATTAGAGTCCCTTCCCCACATTCCCCACTACCATTCTTCTGCTTCTCTGCATATTCTGACCCAATTCGCACATCTATTCGTTTTCCCCACGGGGTTCATCTATTCATCGAATCAATACAGGAATTTTGGCAACGTTCTTGAAAGATAGAATCACTTTCGAAGTGGTCGTAATAGACAAAAGTATCTAGCGCTCTCGGCCACCCGTTTTGTTTCCCTTGGCCAAAGTCTACCGTCAGATTCAGTTGGTCACCAGTACAGTGTATTCTGCATCCGAATGATCAAAGGACTAGGATTGTTACTCTTTTCATGCACTGCTGACCCGCGCGCATGGGCGTCGTCAGTGTGCATCATTTGATTGACATATAACATTTTCCCAGAAACAATTGCATGAGCCTTTGGTCTTGAAGTCCTTCGGGATGTCGTTGAGAAGCTTCTCGCTCTAATAGGACTTTCTTTTATTTATATTTATCACAAGCATTCCTTGATGTTCAGCTGACTGACTTTATTTTTTAAAGCATCCACTTTTGCGAGATATAAAGCTCGACCAAGTATCTCAACTTCTCCATCTCGACCAGAAATCAGCAATATGAAGTTCTACTCTTCTCTCGTAGTCCTCGCCTCCATCGCCGTCTCTTCTTACGCTTCAACTGTTGCTAATATCCTCAGCGACATTAGCACCATCTCCAGTCAGTTGACCACCCTCGACACGACGATCACCAACTTCCCAGCTACTGGAGGAAGTTTGACTGTGGCTCTGGTGAGCAGCCAACAATATTTATTAGAACATAGATATTGACCGTAGCATTATCATATGCCTTTTATACCATAGAGCATTCACAGTCAGGCTCAAACCCTTGATACTTCGATCAATCAGGGTACCACAGATGTGACGGTGAGTATTTAGCGGCTCATATTTCCGAGTATATTTCTGAAAGCAACTCGTTCAGAACGTCGTGCCGACGCCTTTCTCTGAGGCTGACGGAAACTCTGTCTTGACCGCCGTTCAAGGCTTTGTGCCTACAATCCTGGATGCCCTCAACCAAATCGTCATCAAGAAGCCTGCCTTCGACGGTCTTCCCATCGGTGGTATCGGAGCTCTCGTCAAGCAAGATTTGATAGCTTTGAACGCAAGTACTGTTGCATTCGAGAATGCTCTCATTGCCGCTGCACCTGTAAGTGGCACTTGATGTTTTCCGTATTCGTTGTAATTCGCCTAATTTTTCTTGCTACACCCCCTTTAGGCCGATCTCGTTCCTACCGCCACTTCCATTCAGGCTACCGTTGACGCCGCTTTGGCCAGCGCGATTGCTGCATATGCCACACCTTGATTGAGTAGGCAATGAGTACAGTACAATTTGGGTTCAAAATAACGGAAATGTAACGTCATATATCGAAATGAAATCTTACAATGGTGATAACTTTAAACTTGACCTTTAGGGTCTTAGACCAGCCTGCATTCTGAGTATCGACATAGAGTAATATGTGTTCAACCACAGTGATGGATATACTGATGTTCGACGGTGCATATCCTTCGCTATGATATGGGTAACCATGCGGAAAATTGATTCTGCCAACCAATTAAGACCTGGTTTGAAGCTCTTTCCTGCGAAGCTTTTCTCAGTCAACGAGATCAGATGACGCAGTCATTTTTCACACTTCGATTTTCCACAGAAATTGTATATCGACTCATCGAAACTTTGTATAATGTATTTGGTCATTGTAGAACAAGTCCGCAAGTTTTAGACGCCCAAGGTGCGCGCTAGTGCGCGCTCCACGTACGACTAGTCCCAAAACGGTAAGAACGTCGTCTGATTGGCATTTGCAAATTACAGATCTGGATCCGATATGGCGAGCCGTTAAGTTTTAACCATGCCTGTTCAAGCACTCATGCTTGTCCACGATATTTGTGGATAAATATACTGTATATACTGTATAATATATAGTTGCGTGTAACTCGGTATATACTGTAAGTAGGGTAGCTCCTAAAAACAGAAGTACTGTAGCATACTAAGTATATTCTATTTTTTTTTTGGAGCCAGAAGTCCTGATTATTTTGAACCTCGCTAACAGCAAAAGGCCATAACACTCGACGGTTTTGGGACATGCAATTAATAACTGAGAGGGTTGGCAACTGGGTGGCACTGCGGAGGCGACGGATATGGGTGAATGGCCGAGAGCACGTGACTGTGGCGGCGGTGTGCTGTTCCTGGCATTGTCGTCTGTTACGACGACTTCCTCATCCGTACGTCCAGCTCACAGCTCATTCTTCTTTCTCACCAAGCGCTGGCTCCGTCCCTCCCTTTCCTTTCTCAATAATCGTCGACGCAGCGCTACACCTGACAGCGCTGCTGCCTACATAATGGAAGACAAATACATCGGACTTATCCTCGCCATCTGCGGTTCTGTCGGCATTGGTTCAAGTTTTATCATCACGAAAAAGGTACTTGTACTTCGGACACCAGTTTCGAAGTATATCTAGATGTTGTTAATATGTGGGATGACTTACTAATCTATCCTTTGTATAGGGCCTGAATGATGCAGCGCTTACCTCGACATACGCACAAGCCTCTGACAATCTCGCATATCTCAGAAATCCAATATGGTGGGCAGGAATGGTGACCAGTACGTGGACCAATAGCTTCGATTAACTTCTTATTTTCATCCAACAAAATATCTACCTATAGTGGTCATTGGCGAAAGTGAGTTGGACCTCACGATCATCCTAGAAACCGACTCATAAGACCATTTCTACAGTTGCTAACTTTGCGGCATACACATTTGCGCCCCCAATTCTCGTAACCCCCTTAGGTGCTCTTAGTGTGCTAATAGGGTGTGTACGCTCGATGTCCATATCCCGTTAACCCCTGACTTTCCCCCATTCCAGTGCCGTTCTTGCATCATTCCTACTGGGCGAAGAGCTGGGTCATTTGGGTCGAGTGGGGTGCGCATTATGCCTATTAGGCTCTCTGATTATCGTACTACATGCTCCAGAGGACAAGCCTATCAACACCGTCGACGAAATTCTGCATTTTGCTATCCAGCCAGGTACGCATAACTAAAGCCCCCGCAACCAGCTTCACATCGCTGAGGCGTCTCATCATAGGTTTCCTACTATACTGCTTCTCGGTGGTCGTCTTTACACTCATCATGATCTACATGGTCGTACCGAAATACGGACGCTCAAATCCTCTCGTTTACCTATCCATCTGCTCCCTCGTCGGCTCGATCAGCGTTATGGCCATCAAAGGCTTCGGTGTTGCCGTTAAACTGACATTCGGTGGCAACAACCAATTTACTCATCCGAGCACATACGTATTTATGATAATCGTGGGGCTCTCCATCCTCGTTCAGATGAATTACTTCAACAAGGCGCTGGACACCTTCTCTACCAACGTGTGAGTATCACACTTTTGCGTTGCAATGCACGTAACTAATGCGGTAATGAATAGTGTCAATCCCCTGTATTATGTCGGTTTCTCGACCTGCACCATCGTCGCCTCCCTCATCCTTTTCCAAGGCTTCAACACCTCGGACGCCTCTAACACCTTCTCCCTCCTCGCCGGCTTCATCGTCACCTTCCTCGGTGTGCACGTGCTCAACCTGTCCCGCACCTCCGCGCCGCCGCTTGATCACACGCACGGCCAGCATCACTCGACACTCGAGACCGGCTTGATGAACCCGCGTCTGAGCCTGCAAGGCCGCATGTCCCTCGATGGATGGAACGGCGTCGGCGGCGAGCGGGACCGTGACGGGGGCGGGATGGACATCCACATGGGGGGCGTGGGCGCGGGCCGGGCGCAACACCATGGGCGACAGAGCTCGCTCTACAAGGCGCAGAGCACAACACTGTTCAACGCATTCGAGGACGACGAGGCATCCGGGCACGCGCGCCCGCCGCCGCAGGCGAACGGCCACCGGCGACAGCAGAGCGGCGCGGGTGAGCTGCGGCAGCTGCGGGAGGCGGACGAGTGGGAGGAGGACGGCGAGAGCGACGACGACGACGGGAGCGACGAGCACACGCCCGTGCTGAAGAAGGGCAAGACGCCGTCGTCGCGGCGGCCGCAGCAGAACCACCACGCGAACCACTCGAGCATCGCGCTGCCGCTCGCGCGGTCGGGGTCGCGGAGCCTCAGCCATTCGCCGATCCTGGACGCGACGCTGACGGATGTGCGGATATCGCCCCGGCCGTAGAGGCTGGCCTTGCGGATGTGTTTTATTTTTTACTTTGTCTGCCTCCACCCCTTTTTCTTTCTTTCTTGCATGCATGCACACGCCGCCGCCTTGCCCTGGGTCTGTCTGTCTTTCTCATCTCATAACCAACGTCCCTCTCTCTTTTCGCACTCTCTTGCCGGCTGGGGCACTTGCGTTATTTTTATACCTGGCGCTCCTGCGGAGAGTGCGACCAACCCCTCTCCCCAGGCCGAAAACACGTCTTTTTACCCACCTGCCCACCCATGTCACCGTTGATAAGACTAAACCCAGCGGAGACCAAACCCACAAAATCACACCGGTGCCTACCCACGATATCCGGGTATCTTATACCCTCCACCCCGCACCTCCGACCCCGAGACAGAAGACAAACAGACAGACAGACAGAAGCTACTAACTACGACAACACGATATTTACAAATACCCCCCGGACTTTTTTATATTACTCGTACTACGCCTATCATAGCTATTCTTTTATCGCATACTCATGAGCGTTGTAAAAAATGTTGCAGGATGTGAGGTTGGTAACTGGTAGTTCTTTTTAGGGCATACTGTATGTAATATTGGGTCCTCTAATTTTGGCGTAAAGCAACGAACAGTGTGATGGTCATTGTATGCTGGGGCTTGAGCAATTGAGTACTCCTTGCATTGGTTACAAAAAAAACAGGCATTGATTCTATTCAGGAGACTGGAGTAGAAAATAAAGATGGATTTGGAGAACAACAGCGAAAAAATTGGTTCAGCCCGGGGTCGAACCGGGGACCTTCTGTGTACATCGAATGTGAGACAGAAATCATAACCACTAGACCACTGGACCTATAATTATAACATTGACTGCAGCACTACATCCTTGGGACACAAAGGAAGAGGAGTCGGCACTCCCGGTCCCCATCCTTCGGACTACTTTACCGTGAAAAACATCCACACAACTTTACAAAAATTCACGTTGGCAAACACTAAAAACTGAAAACTGAAGAGGGAACAATGCCAGCCAATTTAGAATCTAGATAACCACGAAAGGATAAAAAGAGGGCCTCACTGGGAGTTGAACCCAGGACCTCTTCCACTTTATTACGTAATCCCCGAAAGGAAATCACCCAAAGGAAGAATCATGCTACTAGACCATAAGGCCGCCATGAAAATGGGGGCGATTTTGACATCTACATCAAGGAATATCAAATCGAAGAGTGCAAGAAGGGTTTTCACCGTCACGAGCACATTATGTACAAGCACGCACAAATATCACAATTTTCTATAAATCCCTTGCTTGCCAGCGCTCTTCTCTTCACGACTTTTTGCCCCCCTTCCAAACGCCAACGTGAGCGAGGACGGGTCTTCCTATCTACATAGTCGGAGAATGGATTCCAGGCTTCGCTTTCGCTAGCAACACTATGCCTTGTTTCAAGGTGATGATGGATTTCTAGATAGTAGTGAAAGCCACAGTTCGTACTCGCAATGCAATTTTTTTGTCCATTCAGTCTGGCGAACAGGGAACACGAATAGTTCGAGTCAGAAAATCGTACTAGTACTACTTGAACGATATACAGTGTGTTGCTGGTGTGGTGGAGGCCACATGGTCATCAAATTTTCAGACAAAGGCTGTTCTGAATCGTCGCTGCCCGCAGCCCGTTGACGATAATATACTTGCTCTCGAAGCAAGCCGTGTCGATAGCTTCGCAGTATTGCTCGGGAAGACAGTTAACAAACAGACTTATATTTCCGCCAGTCTCTATCTTATTGCTACTTAGGGAGAACTGTTCTGCTAAGATCGGTTTCGTGATTTGGAAACATTCTTCCACGGATGCCATCCACCGAGAGCAAAGCCTAACAATACAACGTTGGATGCTGAGATAGTTCTTCAGCAGGCGCCGCGACTTAAGGCAGAGAGGTCAAGTGGGCGAAAGCAATGTTATTGCGAATGGAATGTGGGCTGCATGAGATACAAATGATTTAGGCCTTGGCAGCACCAGCTAAAGCCTTTGCGTCCTCGGCAGCAGCAACAGCGGGGTTGACCTTCTTTCCATCCTTCCATCGGACACGGGGGGGAGGAGCACGGTTGCGGCGTCCCTCACGGGATCGGACACGGACAACTTCAAATATATGCTTTAGAGGTGGATTTTCTACCAAGAGCTTAAGGAAACTCACCGTGCGAGTGGATGGCACATGAGACGCAGTAGGCAATTTTGATGTACAGTTTGGGGATGACATATTCTATAGATTTCGCAAAGAGTTTAATAACAGATTGGGAACGGAATGCAGAAGCTACGCACCAGGGTAGACCGAGGCCTCGCTGATATCTCGGACAGCAGCGCTCTCGACCATGTTCCTCACAGTGAACCTCTTGATGGCCTTGTCCTTGCCGACGCAACGAGAGCAGTTCGAGCAGCGCATGAAGGTGACGTGGCCACGTCCCTTCTTGTTACGGCCGCCATTTCTTCTTTTCTTGGTCTAGAGAGGAAGAGTAAAGATCAGCATCCATTTGCATAGGCCTGATCACCCAGACGACATCCAAAACTCGCATCTCGCATCCATCTCAAAATCGCCTTCAAACGGCGCAAACTTCGCAAGGACGGTAGGGAGCCTGACGGCAGAGGATTCTTGGGCTGAAGAAACTCACCATTTTGAGTTGTCGGTGTCGAGAGGCGTTGGGGTGGACGACGACGAGGACAGTTGGTGGCTCTGGCTCGGAAGGAGCCGTTCTCACGGCGCCGGCATGCCGGAAACCCGGCCCGGCACTACACGGCCTATTTCGGGAACAATGAGAGGGCTCATGGAAACAGTCCCGTAAGCTTTCCTTTTGTTCTTGGCACTTCTTGCCTTTATAAAGTCCCTGAAAATGCTAGTCAACTCTAGGCGACCCTCTCTTCTCTCTTTTCAAACTCGTTTCTTTGGGCCCGGGGCTCGTTCTCATTTCTTCATTCATTTTCCTGGTTTAATTCTTAGATAGCTTTCAAGTCTCCTGGCATAATGCATTTCCCTCAGTTCCAACTTGTCTTCATCATTTGCGCGTCGACTGCGGTTTACTCTTTGCCAGCCTCTTTGGTGTCCAACTCGGTTCTCTTGACTAGTGGCCAGGCCGCCCAGGCTCTCAATTCCCAGTTTCAGACTCTCACTACAAGCTCTCCATGTGGCAGTAAGTCGTCAGTCACCAATTCACGTAGCGCTTTGCTCATGTTTTTCATAGATTTGACCACCGGGTGTGTCTCTAATTCTATTGCTACCTGCAAAAACGATACATGGGCCGCCTCGAACGTGTGCTCGAAAAGCCAATCGTGTTTCGCTATTCCCAATGTGCGGAACGGAGGCACGGTATGCATGTCTCTTTCATACTTTCCCAATACCTTCTGATTCATACCGGTAGAGCTTGAGTTGTACCAGTGAAAAGAACGCGCTCTCCATCATTACAGCCAGCGGAGCCACTGGGGCATAACGGGTACAAATTCTACAGGTTCATCCAGTGGTGGCACAAAGTCCAAGACAGCCACTGCGAATTCAGCCTCCATAACGTCTGCATCTCCCACTGCCACCGCAACGGGCACAGGTTCTGGTTCGCAAGACCGCGTCACTGTTACTGTCACCCTCACTCAGCCTGTCGATATCTCGGCCACCACCAGGACCGTCTCTCCACAAGAAGCTTCCAGCATTCTCTCGAGTATCATTGCAGAGGGCGGCCAGGCCACTGTATCCTCTCAAGATTCAGAGGCGGAATCAACACCATGTCCCACGATGACGGGCATGATGCACATAAAGACGAAGACCGGTATGACTTCCGTTCCAACGCCAACAACGGCTGCAATAGATGATTTGCCGACTGCCAACGTCGGCCCTGGAACTACCATTACGCTCGTTGCTGCTACCTCAGCGGGTAGATCTGCACCTTCTGCCGCTACGCCCACAACGGCTGCCACCTCCGCCTCAGAATCCTCTTCTGGAAGCAGCTATAGCGGCTATTAGATACATTTACATGATATAGCATCGCACTACTTACATCTCTCGTAGATATAAACTTTCATCAGCATTAACAATCTTTGTATTTTATACGCATTCAAATTATCATCATGCACAAATTCATTACCATCATCTTTCTCCGAGCATAAGTAAATCCACCACCCAAAGAATACCGCCTAGAACTCCACCCCTGCAGCACGCCCTGCTTCAACATCCTAAAAAAGTCTTCCAGCAGCATCTTATGCCGCGCCCTGGTCCCCTCCTCCTCCACTTCCACCGTGCTCCACCCGGTATTCCTATACGCCACCTCCGTCACCTCCCACAGGTTCTCCCCTTTGCCCGGCAGATACATCCGCCCACGAGCTTCGTCGGGTTGTTCTCGTACAGCGCGATCTCCTCCTCGGAGAGCTTGAAGGAGATGGGGTGCGTGTCGGTGTGGTAGGGCTCGGGCATCGTGGTGTCCCAGGGCCACAGGGTGTGCGGGTGTAGGCATGGGTCGGCGATGCCATTGTTGTCTGGGACTGACCTGGTAGGCGAGGCGGTGAGTATGGTGAATGGGTTTGGGAGAACAGGGTTCCCACTCTGGATTGACTTCCGTCATAGTAGTGCCTTCTAGCGCGTCAGTGACATCGTCAGGATTATCCATTTGTCAAAAGGGTGAAAGATGAGTATAATTCGATGGTCAGGAGCATCGGAAGACATGATCCATGAGTCGACTGAAACCTGCAGTGGAGAAGGACCATGGGATGCTATAAATAGAACGCGCAGCGGAAGTCGAGACTGTCGAGCACCGAAATGAAGATGATTCGAATTGGCGCTATAAATTTAAAGAGCACGTATGATTTCATGAAAAGCAGCGACCATTAAGCAAGTGATAGTACAGAGCAACAACACAAGAAAACTAAAACTTCCCGACTACAAAAAAAATCTGACAACATGAGGAAGTTAAATGAGCATTCTCTAAGGAAATGTTCTCATCAGCGTTACGATATGAAAAGGTTGAAGCGTAAAGGAGTAGTAGCACCAGGCATTGAAGGCATCGAATGTCTTGTTGGTATCATTCATGGGTATTCAATCAATCATCAAGCTCGTCCTCCTCTTCATCTTCCACGGTCTCCTTGCTCTTCTTGGTCTTCGAAACAGCCTTGGCCTTCTTCGATGGTGGTTTGGCCTCTACAGCCTTTGCAGGAGCGCGCTGAAAGCCAAATGATACATTAGATACAGAACGACAACATGAAGTGAACACCAAAGTACGCACCTTGCGCTTCTTGCTGCTGCCTTCATCAGCATCGTCAGCTGCAGTCTCGTCGGCCATCTCAACATCCTCGTCCTATAAAGCAATCGTCGGCACATTCATGAGACCAGTTGACGCAGAGTGGACGTTCAACACAATGACTCGCCTTCTTGGCTGCAGCTTTCTTCTTGGGTTCTGCTTTCTTCTTGGGTTCTGCTTTTGCCTTGGGTTCTGCTTTTGCCTTGGGTTCTGCTTTTGCCTTGGGTTCTGCTTTTGCCTTGGGCTCAGCTTTAGCCTTGGGCTCAGCTTTGGCTTTCGAGGCGGGCTTCGCTTTTGGTTCAGCTTTAGCCTTCGGCTCTGCCTTAGCCTTGGATGCGGGCTTTTTGGCGGGTGCCTTCTTCTTCGGTGCCTCTTCCCCCTCTTCCTCGTCTTCGTCAGAACCAGCGGGCACTTCATCGAGCTCCTTGCTGAAATCTTCGCCCGATTCATCGTCTTCTTCTGCCTGTTGATGGTAAACGAACTCCATCAGTATGCGGTATGCGAGCAATAGTGATGATTCAGAACCTTCTTCTTTGAAACGCGCTTTTTGGGAGCAGCTTTCTCTTTGGGCGCGGCTTTCTCCTTGGGCACAGCTTTTTCCTTAGGGGCAGCTTTCTCCTTGGGTGCAGCTTTCTCTTTAGGTTCCGCCTTTTTCGCGGGCGCCTTCTTCTTGGGCTTTTCATCGTCTTCATCTGCATCTGCCTCTTTGGCAGCCTTCTACAATTAATGTTCAGCAATGTTGAATTCAGTTTATTTATAAGCTATGACAGACCTTGGAAGTGCTGGCCTTCTTCTTCTTCGGGGCCTCCTCGGCCTCTTCGTCTTCATCGGCTTTCTTCTTGGTAGCCTTCTTAGTGGCCTTCTTGGGCTTCTCCTCTCCATCCTCGGCCGCTGGCTTCCTTGCGCTGTCT